TTTATATCGGAAAATTCCACTCGGCTTCCCGAGTTGTTTAAAGGCTGTGTCATAAAACCCTCCTGTGGGCTGAACCATCTGCGTTCGTTGTGTGTGTGTCCGGCCGTGTGTTTCGCGTGCGTGTTTGTCCGTGTGTTTATTAGCTTTGAAGACACAGCTGTGTCGTTCTGGAAGAAAGGGGTGGGGGTGGGGGCCTCGTGACGGCGCCACCGAAGTTATCCATTAGCCAGACCGATGATTCGCGTCGAGTTATAAAAAAAACATTCGAATCCATGTTTTGTTACTGAATAATATTTGTCGCGAAAACCTACGCGTTAAGCGAGCTTAATTATTCCCTCCCTTGCTCTGGGATCACATCCTTTGTCTCACACAGCTTAAGTTGGTTTGGTTTGGAAGTTGAAATGCGACTTATTTGCTGCTTGGTTATGCCGAAACCGTGTTCACGATGTTTCATCGTGACCCGATCTCTCATGGAAATGTTATTTCCTCGCGTGTGCAATTTTTGCTGTCCGTGTTGTGGGGAGACAAAGGCGGTTGTTTCCACGGTGGGAGCACCCGGAGCATGCGCTTATTTATTCGAAGGCGTGTGTTAATTTCCTTTGAGCCATTGCCCCAACCTTTATGGGTGTCATTTCCTGGCTTGGTGCCTGTGTGTGGAGATCCTCTCGGAAAGACAAAGGCGGCCGTGTTGCTCGCTTCCCATGGGTGTTGTGTTTGGTTAATTTTGAGAGCCTTCTCCGCCCTTGATTTCTCTTCTACTTTAATTCCGTACTTATTATTTGACTTCTTGTGATTATTTAATCTGATATCCCGGCTAGGAATTTTGTTTTGGAGCTAAATAGATGCCATAATTATTCTTTGATGCTTCGGCCCGGCCGTGTAGATATTCTTTAAAGGTAAATAATGTCAGTACTTAATTAACAATGATGGGTCGCGATTCTGGTGCAGACTGTCGTCTGGTTTTCAATTGGAGTGAGGATGGATACTGTTTGCTTGTGCTTTTTGTCGTCAATGCTGTTTCTTTGTTAAGAATATAATTATCTCTTCCTCCGTGGTGCCTGGTTCTGTGGGGTTTTTTTTTTTACAAAAGGATGTCCTGCTGACCCCCCCTCCCTTGTTCTTCTTGTGTGAATTTAGGGGAGTTTTTATTACCTTATTGCCCCCCTTTCATGTCCTCTTTCCTTTGAAATGAGGTGTGCGCACATCTGTGGTAGTGTGGGGGCCTCTGTGGAAGTGTGGGGGCGTGTTCGTTCCCACGTGGCCGCGTCTATTAAAAAAAACGATATTATCTATGTTGGCAGAATAATTCTTTTAAAAAATATCAAAAAAAATAAAAAGGGGGCATATACACAACACAATAAATAGTGCAACTTTTTACAGGAAAATATATTTTTTTGTCTAATTGTACGTTTATTTATGCCAATTCCATATCATAAATATATTCAACATACTAAAAAAAAACATATACACATCACTTGAAACATGTTATACAAGAATCTACAAAAATACATTATTTTAAATAAGGATTGGTGACTATCTGGTGTTTTTGAAAATCCGGCACCCCCTCTTACGCCCCAAAGCTGCTGATAATCGATGAATTGCTGGAATATATTATGAGATGCTACATCAATCTGTTGACATGTTAAATATTTCGTGTCACATTGAATTAGTGTAGTCACGGTATGTTAGTGATACGGTATGTTAGTGTCACAGTGTGCGAGTTTGTCACGGAATGTTAGTGTATCACAGAATGTTAGTGTCACAGGATGCAAGTGTGTCACAATGTGAGTGTGCCACAAAAACAACCCCCTACCTCATCGTGGTGCTGGACGGGCAACACTGTCGTGGACAATGCTATGGGGGGGGAGGGTGAATTCCGATTGGCCATTCCCCTCATGGCGTTTGCAACCACCACAGTGGCCAAATGGGGGCTCTGGATGGGTGCGAGGGGCTGGTAACCCCTACACCTTCAATTAATTACCACTAAACCACGAATTTTTTTTTTTATTAATAAGTTCGTGCCAGAGGCCCCGGGGGGACAGGCGTCTATGACGTCTCCTGGCCAAACCCCATTTGGCGGAGCCAGGAAATTGAATTTTTAACCTCGGGGTTCCTCCAGAAACAACTAAAAGCCACTACACGAATGGCCACGTGGAATGTTCGAACGCTCACTGCGTAGGAGAGGCTGCCACTCCTCTGTCGGGAGCTGGACCGGTACCGTCTGGATCTCTGTGGTATTCAGGAGGTCCGGTGGACCGGCTGCACCTCCAACTAAGAGGTGGGGCCTTACCATCAGCCCCACAAAAACTAAGCACCTGCCTGGGTATTTTGTACCATCGAGCACTCCACCCCCACAACTCCCAATCGGTGATGGGGTAGTTGTGGAGAGAGTGGAGAGTTTCCCATACTTGGGCAGTGTGCTCATGACCGGCTCCGGTTTGACAGCAGAGGTCTCACTCAGAATTAGTCGAGCGGCATTATCTTTTCATCGGTTGCGTAACGCTGTGTGGAAGCTACCTGGTCTGTCGCTCCGCACGAAGCTTCAAGTCTTTTCTAATGGAGCATCTTCACCGATTGGAACATTTAGGCTGGCCTGCCTACGATCCATCCTGGGTTTAACCAGGCTGGATTGTGTGAGGAGCTCACAAATCCTCGAAAGATCTGGACAAAGTCCCATCGGTGAGCTCCTCCGGCAAGCAAGGCTGTGTTGGCTGAGTCATGTAGCCCACATGTCCAGTCACCGCATGCTTTAAAAGCTTTTGTTTGGCCGGATAGAGGGGGCTAAACGGACACGGCACGGGCTGGAGAAGAGATGGAGTGATGTGGTACAGGAGGATGTGGAGCCGAGTGGATTTGCCGATGACTGGTACCAGCGGTGTCAAGATGGGCCTCTGTGGAGGAGCCTAGTGAAAGACGCTGCCGGGAAGTTGGAGGCAGTCGCCCTCCAACAACAACAACGGAGGGCGGAGGAGCGACGCTCGCAACAGCGAGCGGAGCACCGGGTGGCTAAAGCACAGCAAGTTTGCACAGTAGGGGGCAGAGGTGGTGCACCAGCCAGTCATCTCAGTCAGTTGACCCGTGGCACCTGGGTCTGCCCCGTGACCTCCTGCAGCGGGCATTCGACACTTCACGTGGCCTTCAGGTGCACATAGCCTGGCACAAGCGTCGTGGTGACGTCACCACCACTTAGTGGCGAATGGCGGTTGTTGTTGTGCCACAATATGTTCATATCAGAGTCTGTTAGTGTCCCAAATCCTATTACATGTCACACTATGTTTATGTCACTGTACGGTAGTGTTACAGTATGTGTTACAGAATGCTAGGGTCACATCATGTGTCACAGAATGCTGGTGTTACAGTATATGTTAGTGTCCTAGCATTTTCTGTTCCACATTGTTCGTGTCACAGAATGCTGGTGCCACAGTATTTGTGTTGCAGTACCGTATGTTAGTGTCACTATGTGTTAGCATGTCGCAGTTTGTTCGTGTCACGTGTCAAAGTATGTTAGTATCACAACATGTTCGTGTCACGTGTCAAAGTATGTTAGTATCACAATATGTTCGTGTCACGTGTCAAAGTATGTTAGTATCACAATATGTTCGTGTCACATTAAGTTAATGCGTCACAGTTTGTGTGCATTACAGTATGCTAGTGTCACAGTAAGTTAGTGTTACAATGTGTCACAGTAAGTTAGTGTTACAATGTGTCACAGTAAGTTAGTGTTACAATGTGTCACAGTAAGTTAGTGTTACAATGTGTCACAGTAAGTTAGTGTTACAATGTGTCACAGTAAGTTAGTGTTACAATGTGTCACAGTAAGTTAGTGTTACAATGTGTCACAGTAAGTTAGTGTTACAATGTGTCACAGTAAGTTAGTGTTACAATGTGTCACAGTAAGTTAGTGTTGCATTGTCACAGTATGTTCGTACAGAAATCCAACACCAAACACGGCGGTGAGGTTTCTGAAAACCCCCGTGGTTGGCGAGACGAAAGGCTGATGGAAAATAGGGGGTTAGGTTCCGCGGCCGCGGTTAACATAAACACATTCCTGCGGAGGGAGCTGGTAGGAACGTTGGGTTGCTCGGTCAATGGCCAGGGTCAACGGCGGCGTGGTGTATTCCACAAATATGCCCGACTGTGAGGGCGGGCACAAGCCGGCGTGAGTAGGTTAAACGTTGAGTTTTATAAGGGCACCACGGGGTGACCAGCCCCTCCCCACCCAGCCCCACCCTCCCCTCCCAACCCAGCCCCGCCCTCCCCACCCAGCCCCACCCTCCCCTCCCCACTCAGCCCCACCCTCCCCACCCAGCCCCTCCCTCCACGACGGACGGACACAATAATCCCCTGTGGGCTGGTGTAACCAGGAGGTTCCTCCCAGTATAATCGAAGCCTAAGCATCCTATGCATTCAGTAAACATGACAAATATGTAAAGTGCTGTATCACGCACTGTATTAACAAAAATAACTCTAAAGACAGATCGCCTTCCTCCTACCCTCCTTGCCCTCGTCACATGACGCTCACCCTCACCACCACCTCGACGCTTAGAGGCCACGATGAAAAGCAAACATGAGTAATGACAGTCGACACTGTCACGAGGTTACATAACACGAGAGCACTGCTACTGCTTTGACGCGAACAAGTACGGAGCGTGGTGGGGACACGGCTGGAGATTTGAAATCGCGACCAGCGCAAAACCAACCCGTGGTTACGCGAAACTGCACGAAACTGCATGCCGTGTTTGGAGAAACGGTATGCGTAAAATGATGCATGGATACTCTGAACAGTGGTTGGCAAACCCCGTGGTTTAGTGAAGGGTTAACAGCGTTGTGCTGTTACAGTACGAGATATACAGTACCATACAGTACCGGTGTGTTGCCGTGGGTTATTTACTCTGCACGGCGAGGGAAAGGAAGGTGGAGTGAGGAGAGGGGTGAGCATATCGGTGAGGAGAGATGTAAGTCTTGCTGGAGTGCAGAGAGAGGGGGGAGAAGGCGCTCACCTCGCGTCACGCTGCGCCAACTTCGGGCCCTGGCGACAAAACGAGAAGTGGAGCCGAGTCACGTGACGCGGGGAGAGGGAGGGGGGAGACGGGGCGGGTCAGGGGTCGAGAGAAAGGGGGGGGGGGTGACCGAAGTGAGGAGAGAAATTGTGATTTTCAGAGTTCGAGTTGAGTCTGTTTCATTTGTTACTTGGACGATCCCGTTTAGCGAGTTACCCGGCTATTTTACAATGGGGATCCGTGGTGCTTGAGTTCAAATAACAAAACAAAGACGAAAACATCAATATTGCAGAGAACGATTCCACAGGAGAATAAAAAAACTGCAAATATAATGAGAGCATGAGCACCAAAAAACTGAGTGACACGTGCAAGCATGCTGTGTGTTTTTGGTGAAGGGAGAGAACTAAGCTGTAGATGAGTGACAAGTGTAAAGCATTTTTAGCAAAAAAAGGTTTAGCAAAACGAATGTTTCATTCTAAATTCGGAGACACTTATGAGGCTACAGGAGGGAGATAGAGGAACTAAGTGTATGGCAGAGGAGGTGTAGCCCCCCCCCCCCCCTCCTTATATTCTGCGAGATCCACTCACTCAGTCTTTCCGGCACTGAACCCGGACAAAATATGGAGAACAAGCTCAGCTGCAAGAACACTGCTTTATTAACACAAAAACTGCTACAACAACATGTGTCGAGTGTCAGTAGGGAATTGCTAATCTTGAATGACAAGTTGCATCAGGGCAACAATAAAAAAATATACTCCACACCCAAACAATATATCCACCCACCATAGCAGTGCACATGGTTACAGTCCCTAGCTACTTGTAGTTCCTCTGGAGAACACGCGTTGTCGGGGCACAGCGTGACCATGTTTACCATCTGTCTTATTATTCACGCTATTACCGATACTACAATGAAGCCCTCACATATTACTCATACAGAAGAAATAACACCATCCGGAATGCATACTCATTTCTACAGTGGTATAAGGACCCCTTTTAGTGCCGATTTGATTAGCGTTCACTTCTTCAGGAACGCATTTTGAGTGCTAAGCGAGGTCTAAGTGTCGAGCTGAAACACACGTCCGATAAAAACGGTTTCGGCTAGATGTTCCTCTACTGCAACGTTAGTGTACTCAAAAAAGATGTCCCTATCTAAGTCCATGGGCTGCAACTGAACAAGAGAATTTAGATCCATAATATAGGTTGTTTGGGTTAGATCTTCTTGGTTCTTTCGGTAAAGTCACGTAGAAGGGAAGTAATAAAATAATAAAAATAAAACACAATAAAATAATTCTCACTACGTTTCGGCCACAACGTAAGCAGCCGTCCTCAGGTGAAAACCAGGTCTGTCGAGGCGACAGAGTTTGAATGAAACAGCACACGAGCTTGGAGCATATATATATATATATAAGCTGGGCGCCTTGACAAAGGAATTTGCATATCAAGAGGAATTTAGCATATTATGGGAAATGAAAGGAATGTGATTAGTAATTATGTCTGTGTTTGTATATTTGTATGGCTTCGTGTACAAACCTTTGATGGTAGCCAGGAGGTTTGCATTTGTGGTGATTGCTACATTGGAGAAACGAAACGTCATGTTTCTGATCGTGTCCGCGAGCACAAGTCAGATCTGAAACACGGCAGAACTGATTCTTCGGCCGTTGCCGATCATTGCTACAACTCGGTGGGCTCTCATGAAATTGTATTTTCCGAGACCAAGGTTCTTTGCAAACCTCCTGGCTACCATCAAAGGTTTGTACACGAAGCCATACAAATATACAAACACAGACATAATTTCAACCGTGATGACGGTTACAAACTGAGTAATCATTGGAAAGATGTGATTAACCATGCAAAAAAGATTTAACTACACTTATTTGCCAATCTTATTTGACAGACAACCATCACAGTTTTACCATGTTTAGTGGTGGTCTCCCTGTTATAGGTTGAGTCACAAACCGCACCTCTCCATAACAAAGGCTCAGCCTTTGTTATGCAGTCTATTCTTAGTCTTAAGCCTCACCTTACCATATTAATAAAAAAGTATGCTGCCCTTGCCCCACCACCTTCTCCAACCATTATATAAACGGAGTGGTAGCTCCTGCAATCTCTCATTTACTTGATACAGCTGTCGTGGCTGTGACGGTACCACCTGAAGACGGAAGCTTGTGTTGCCTCCGAAACGTCGTGATTTTTATTTTATTTACTTTTTAATGTTTTTACCTACGTGACTTTACCGAAAAAACCTAAGAATACATAGTATCATCAGTATACTTACCATACTCTACAATAAGCTGAGTTACTAACAGTAAGTAATACATTACAATTCTACGTCGTAAAAATTATATAATATGCTTCCATCTAAACTTTATTCTCTTACATCACACGAGTCTACACCGTACTATATACTGCCAGACAAACCCAACATTAAATTATATACTGTATTGCTATAAACCATCCTATACCTTAGTATCTTTCACACGACGGTCAATGAAAGATACTAAGGTATAGGATGCATTTCCCATAAATATGCAAAATTCCTCTTGATATGCAAATTCATTTGTCAAGGCGCCCAGCTTATATATATGCTCCAAGCTCGTGTGCTGTTTCATTCAGACTCTGTCGCCTCGACAGACCTGGTTTTCACCTGAGGACGTCTGCTTGCGTTGTGGCCGAAACGTCGTAACAATTATTTTATTGTGTTTTATTTTTATTATTTTATTACTTCCCTTCTACGTGACTTTACCGAAAGAACCAAGAAGATGAATCCCTGCAGTCACGAAAGCTTTAAATCGAAATGGGTTAGATCGCTTAAATATAAACGTGTCGTTAAACCCGCCACCACCTGACAGCCAATTAATAAGGTTTGTCATGTAAACAGAACAGACAGACACACACACATACACCATACAAACAGTCACAATCAAAAGGACAGTTGTTCCATCGTGAGAGGAAACCGAACAATCACAGGCCGAGGAGCAAAATCAAAGGAATTCCGGTCCTTTGTGAGAAGACGAGATGGAGGCAAAGCATTTAGGATATAGCAATGCCGAACCACCCAAATCAGTTTTGCAATGGCAAGCTCCGGGGTATGGTCCTCAAAATAAACCATGGGTGTTGAGTCTTGCAGAAGAGAGGGGCGATGTGTTGCTAAGTGTTGAATTCTGAGCTGACAGACGGAGTATCGCTGAAAGTTGTATTCTACATTCATCCTTATGTTTTGAGTCGCTGGCAGAGTCAAGGACTGCGAGAAGTTGTATTGTACTCAGCTATAATAGTTGTGTAGTGCCGTAGATGGGCCACACTTACCAGCAGTGGTGGACAGGGCCCATCTGCAGGTACCTCGGACCCCCAGGGGAGGGGCCACTGTGCAAGCCCAATAGGGGGGGGGGGCTGCTGGGGGCTCTAGGATCCTAGGCAGCTAAGCCCTCGGCGCTGGGGCCTCAGGATCCCAGACAACCCAGACAGCTGAGCCCCTTGGCACCACCAACGGGGGGCTGCGGGAGATCTAGGATCCCACGCAACCCCACTCCTCGATGGGCAAGGGGGATAAAAGGGCCGCTCCCCAGCCGATTGGGACCAATCGCAGCTCAAGACCCAAGACCAGCCAGCTTAGGACCCTGGACCCCTTCGCCCCACTTGTCCATGTAAGGGACAGGACATTGTGCGGGCCAGTGGTGGGACTCTGGGACTCCCGGCTCTATGCCCTTGTAAGGGCGAGTTCCGAGGAAGCCAGAGTCTAGACCCGCACCTTGGCTGGGTCGGGTCAGGTAGCCTCCCCTAGGGTAATTGTAGCCGGAGGACCCGAGAGCATAGCCAGTGTCAGGCACGCTAGGAGTAGGCTATGTCCCTAGGCTGTAACAGTGTATCAGGATTGTTGGAGTGTTGTATTGTAATAAAGAAGTTACCTCTACAAGTGTCTCCGGAACCCATTGCAGTTGTGAGAAGCTAAGAGGTGTGCGAATACATTTGTAGTGCTTGAGATACGCGTCACGCGATGGGTCGGTATGCGCGCACGCAGTGGACAGTGAGGGCAAATGAGGACACAGGGCGCTGATTGGCTGGCCGTTGTTGTTGTCCAAATTAAGGTGGCGTGATGGTTAAAGGTGGTCGCAGGTGGCCGGGGGTAATTAAGGGTACAGGGCATTGATTGGACGAGAGGGGCTGTTGTGGGAGATTGGCGCCGGTGTGTCTGGAAAAACAACGCCACGTGGCAGCGGGGGCTGGGGGCGAGTGGCGTCGTGGGGGATGGCCTGATTAATTAGGGGTTAATTGGTTCGGGGATAAAATCAGGGGTTGTGGAGTGAGACAGGAGTTCGTGCCTGGGAGGAGAGACAGATGGAGAGACGGAGCAGCAGAGTGAGTATAGCGTAGGGTAGCAGTGGAGAGAGTGAGAATAGCGTAGGGTAGCAGTGGAGAGAGTGAGTATAGCGTAGGGTAGCAGTGGAGAGAGTGAGTATAGCGTAGGGTAGCAGTGGAGAGAGTGAGTATAGCGTAGGGTAGCAGCGGAGAGAGTGAGTACCGCGTAGGGTAGCAACGGAGTAGCGTAGAGCATCAAGAGACGATGGAGAGTAGGAAGCGGCTGGAGCGCGGAAGGAGCACGGGGTTAGTTACGACTGAGTGGGACGGCGGAGCTGATAAAGAGCAGCCGAACTGGAGAGAGAGAGAGCGGAGAGGAGAGTCGACGGAGGAGTAGAGGGTAGCGAGCGAGGGTAGCGAGCGAGGCCAGCGGAGCGCGGCGAGTGAGCGAGGAACATTGAGCGGTGTTGACGAAGAGTTGTGGGTCTGTGTGAGCGAAGGAACATTGAGCGGTGTTGACGGGAGAGATGTGGAACTGTATACGTGGAATAAAGCAACGAGGAAAGACAAGAAGCTGTCGTGTCGGTTCGAGCACTACACATTTATGAGTTTTGTAGAGTGAATGAGCAGCAGCGGATGAGCAGCTCACAGCAGGGCGGGGAGCGTCAAGGGTGCTCACGTGAAGCAAGCTGCTGAGACAATGAGGTGCGGCGCAGCCACAGGCATTCCGACTGCTAATTTGACCCGGGCGCGCAGATAATCTGCAGACGTG